GCTCCAAGAGGGACTGGAATGGTCAGGAATCAAGAAACTTCTGTAAGGCATCTTTTGGTCTCTTCTTTCCAAACTAGGTCAGTTGGCTACTGCTCTCAGTTCTAAGTCTAACAAGGAAATCCTGTTTCTCCATTAAAAGTAAATAAATAAATACATAAAATTGGTTTTAAAATAACTAGTACTAAGATGGAGTTTGCTAGATTCATTTTCAATGTTTTTGTTTGCTGCTTTTTTTTAATTAGATCAGTCTGTGAAGTACTTTTGCTTCCCTGGGTTGTCAAATGTATGTGCTTTGTAAAAGTCAAAGGGCTGTTTTAAAAATCCCACACAAGTAAAGCAGATTTTCCTTTTCCGGCTTTGTAGCATGATGGTACTGGACTATCTGTATCTAAATGTGCCATCCTGACTTCAGCATGAACTTTAACCAAAGGTTCAGTCATTGCCCCGATACAGAATGAAGACGTTTCAAAAATGTATTGACCAGATTTCCTGGCAGTTTTGTTTGACTAGCAATATTAGAAACCTTCAGTGTTAGTACCAAATTGTTAAAAAGCAACATCTTATTTTATCAGTATCCTTCTGCAGCAGTATCGACTAGACAGTTTGTAGAACTCAAATCTTAGGTTGAAAATAGTTGTCTTCTTCCTCATACCTATACAAAGTCATCAAATGTATTATTATTGGGATTGGATTATTCTATTACTGTAATAGTCAAAATGGCTGTAGTTCTGCAAAACTTCTTAGACAATGAGGACAGGCTAAGATGCAGTGGCTAGTTTTTCTGCAGATATAAGTCAACGCAGCTTAACTGACAAAGAAATTATGATGTATAGACTTTTCTCAGCTGCTGCCTGTAATCAGATGTGGTGAGATGGTGGGGTCTACCCCTTTGCCTCTGGGGTAGGTGCACACTTACTGTTGATGAGTTCAATTTATGTACATTAAACCAAATTAAGAAGCAAAATATATTTTTTTCCAAAATAGCATAACATCTAGTGAATTCTAGTTGTCTTATGAAGCAGTGGGACTCTTGAGCTGAACATTCAGGATGCTAGATTTTTGATTGCTCTTATATATGTAGCTTTGTAGGTTTCAGGGCTGCCAAAACATTTATACTAACACTGTATCTGCTCCAGATGCATCTCAGCAGACTTGATGGGAATAGTAGCAGTTCAGCACAACAGATACACACTCAGTGAAGTCACTGAACAGGTTCAAGTTGCTCCTCATGGTCTGAATTATTTAGCTACTCATCTCTTCTAATATTCATCTCTTCATGAAAAAAATAACTTGGGAGCAGAATAACCCATCTCTTGATTACCATGGTTCTTATAGGAATTCGTACATTTCAGGCTGCAAATTGAAGATGTTTTGAAATGGGAATTTAAGTGGATTGTAATCTTAAATTATAATTTCAAGGTTAATTGTTAATTAATACTAATGAGACCCCATTTTATTTACCAAAGCTAGCTTGTGAAGTACAAGGTAAGTTACCACAGAGACTAAGAAGTCCGTAGATTTCATAGAAGGGTGTTTTTCAGATTTGTTGTGAGTAGGAATTAACACAGGGATGAGTTTCATGAGGAACCCAGACACCTCTTTTTCAGGACTTAACCCAGCTTTCAGCTCTGAGTATGTTTAGAAAACTGTGTGTGAATGGTCCCAATGATTTCTAACAGTTTTCCTTTCAAAGAGTAAAGCATCAGGGCACCATTGAAGACTGCTCAAGAAATGGTAGCTCTTTTGTTTTCTGCATTTCTACAACCTTTAATCAGCTACAGCTTCACTGCAGTATAGGATTCATTATGTCTGACGTGTTTTGTAAGGAAATACTGTATTTTCGTTTTGTGTCTGAGTCACACTTTAAATGTATGGATAATTTAAGGTGTTTTGCTATCAGATTTCATATTATTCATCAAATGCAATTCTACAAGTGGTAATGCATGCAGTAATAACTGAAATAATGAGCGGTACAAAAGGAAAGGAAACAAGAAGAGAAAGAATGGGATAAAAGGCTAAAGAACCACAAAATAAGTACTTGGGATTTTTTTAAATTGCTGTTTAGCTTTTGTATCTGAACAAGTCACTATGACTTGCACATTCCTTTTTTTCCAACATTTCATCAGACCTTGTAGGTCTGCAATTATCTGTAAAAATATGAATGTATGCAGCTAAAATACAGCCATTTAATTTTCCCATTGGATCCTTCAGGTATACTCTGTGGCTTGACCTTTTTTCTGAAGGTCAAGAGAATTTTATTCATCTGACATACTTAGCTTGAATATGGCATTTATAGCTTGGCTAATGTTATGGATGGTAACACCAGTAGACATTTATACGGCTTCAGCAGGAGTTCAGCCAGCAGAACTATCAGCCTGATAAAGGCTTTCATCTTAAAAGTTGTATTGCTACAGTAAGCTGAAGACTTATACTGCTTCTTGAAACCTGTAGCCTGGCTAAGAGATGAGGAGTACCTTCTGATAATTCCTGGTGGCTAAAGAGCTATCTTTAGTGCAAGAATTAAGATGCCTGCATGCAGCTGTTCTGGTCTGAGTTAGAAATTAACATAGAAGTTTGTCATTTTAAATGTATTAAGGCTAGTGCTACTCAAAAATATTGGCTTTAGAATGAACTCCAGGTAATGAGTCCCAACATTTTTTTCTACCCAGTTATAAAATATTTCTTTTTTTTTAGAATTTAGCAGAATTTTAGGAGACAGAACTGCTATACTGATATTTTTGGGGAAAAAATAGTCTTACTTCTTTAACTAGATATTTTGCAATTATAAAACTTTTAGGAAATTGTTAAAAAAAATAATAATCCAAAGCCTATAGAGAAGGTTGAAACTAGTACAAGAAGCTAGCATGACAGCTTGTATGGTTTTTGGCTTCGGAGAAGTTTATTTTGTAGAGAGCTAGAAAGTAGTCAGTGAAAGTGGTTATGCATTGATTGTGGTTCTAAAAGCAGTTGAAATAACTAACAGCAGGAAAGTACATGGGGTATATCTGATACAATCTGATACAAATGTACAGTCTGAATGCTGCAAGTCTGTCACCATGTCTTGGAAGAAAGGTGGAGTAACTGTAGCAGAGGTCAGGAAGGGTAATTTGAGGCTTTGAATAACAACTGTACAGGGACATAGATACAAAGTAGGCTGTGATTCTTCAGGTGTCTTAAGGGATTCAATAATAGATATCTATAAAATTGTGACCAATGCTGAGAATGTTAATAAGCAGGAACAATTATCCCATATTTCTTAAAGTATTAAGAAGTGAAGATTAGACAGTGAAATCATCAGCAGGCTTTAAACAAAGAAGAAGCAGTACTTTTTGTCTGAAGCTGCCTAAGTGTGCAGGTGAAGTGTTTGTTCAGTACATCCTGTACTTTTCCTCAAATACTTGTTCGCTGTTAGAGATAAGATACTAGGCTAGATGAATTCTTGATCTGGGGATATAATTGGTAGAATGTTACATTTACATGCCTGTTCACAGAGAAATGAGGAAACCTGTGGTTTGGACATTTTCTTTCCAAAATGCAGGCGTTTGGCCCTTCAGTTTGTATGGTTATTTAACATGACAACTGAGAAATTGCATTATATCAAGGTGTGATTATAAAACCAAAAATATGTAGCAGACTGAAGGGCAAGTATAAGATTTAACCTTCCTTTTAGCTTCCTTTTAAATGGTGACTAGCTTTCAAGTTGATGAATCCCTTTAAACTTGCTTTAAAATATATTTGTCTGGCATGGAATTATGTGGTAGCAGCAGAAGCCTTGGCTATTGCATTTATCAATTGGTGGATATATTAAACCTTATTTTCTGATGTTTTTTTAAAATTCACCAAATATGCAGGATCTTAACTTATTCAAAACCTTAAGACAAAAAATATTCATTAAAAAGAAATTGTATGTTCCAGTCAGACTTCAGTCAGACACATTGGCTACAGTTTAAGAGCACAAAGAAAAACTTGCCTTATGCATTTTGTGTTTGAAATGGTGGATGGAAGTTCTTCTTTACCCTTCCTGAGCATATAATGTATTGCCTTCCTGTTGGGCTGTAATAATCTTCTTTCAGATGAGTGATTGTTTTGCTTTTTGCCTCTAGTTTTGGAAGACAGTCTCCCACCTTCTTTCTGCTCATCAATTGAATAACCTGTCCTCTTCTATTCAGCTGTTTCTCATGAGCTGTTTGATCTGCTAGGATCTCATATTTGTCAGCTGTGCATTTTGATATTGTTATAACCGATGGAATGTTTTCTGCCACTGATTTTAGAAATTTCTCTATAAGCCAAGAATACTGTAGAACCTGTGGTAGCCCTTCTGCCAACTCACTTTAGCGGTGGTGAAGACCAAATTCAGATAAACTGTAATGGCTTGTACTAAAGTAAACAAAACGAATCCCACTGTGAAACTTGCTCACTGATTTTAGGAACTGACCATATCGCTTCTTGATCCCCTATCAGCCCTCAAGTAAGCATCCATGGGTTTTTTTGTTGGTTTTTTTGTTGGTTTTTTTTTTTTTGAGATATGTAATCAAGCAACTGTGGCAGTTGTCTTGTACATTCCTTCTCCGTGCTACCTCACTCAGAAGCTCCAGCAAGGTCTCATGTAGTCTTCCTCACCGTTTGCTACTCTTCCCATAAATGTCATAGAATTGTAGAATGGCTTGGGTTGGAAGGGACTTTAATCATTATCCACTTCCAATCCCCCTGTTATGTCAGCTGACTCTGAGTTAGTGGAAACCGCTTTAACTCCTGCACATAAGGGACACAAAGCGCAGCGACTTCTTGATAATCCGCACAAATTTGATTTTGCTGCTTTGACTTCATTTGTTGTGTACATCTTTGATGGGCTGCAGTGTCCTGTTGTGGCACCAATTAAAACCCTTGTCTGCTTTACTTTCAATTCATTTCCAGCATAGCAAGCTATCTGAAAGATGCATTCAAAGAACGGTCCAGTCGCTGACCTCTGATGGGATTCAGGTCTGTTTTGTTATTTTCAGGTTCTGTTTGGCACTGCTGATGGTCAGGTTATTGTCATGGACTGCCATGGGCGAATGCTGGCCCATGTGCTCCTTCATGAGTCAGATGGCATCCTCAGCATGTCCTGGAACTACCCCAGCTTCCTGGTGGAAGACAGCAGTGAGAGCGACACAGATTCGGATGACTATTCCCCACCACAGGGTAGGTTCCTTGCATGTCCTTCTCTTTCAACTTTGCTGGCACTTGTGAACACCAGGGAGTAGTCGTGTTGTACTGAAACAGCAGGATGGCTGTGGTTTCAAGCAGGTAGAAGATAAAAGATGATGCATTGCTCTTGAGGTAGAATCGGGGGTGGAGCAGAATACTGTTATGAGGGAGTGGGTGCATCCCAACTCTGCCAATATGGCATGCTACAATACACACCTCAGCCATGCTGCTTTGCCTCCATTTGCACAATGAGGTAACAGCCCAAAACTGAAAAGTTTTTTAGTGAGGCCAAGTGGAAAAAGTAGATAGGGGCCCATCAGATGTCACTGATAAGCACATGTGAGATATTGCTATGTTCCAGAGTAGGTAGAGGGCAGTCACAAAAGTTAATGCATTATTTTTTATATTATATATATTTGTCTGAAAAGATAACAGTACTAGACATGGCAGAAGGTACTGCATCTTTAATTTTAAAGAAATTCTGTGAAGCAGAGATAATACTCATCACTGTAGTTCCATCCTTGATAGTACTGACACAAAGAGCTCAATAAATTTCATACAGGGGTGGTTATAAAAATATTTCCTGCAACTACATGGGGTAGATGGAGGGTGACTGGGGCTGCCTGAAATTACTAATTCCTGTACTTCTGAACACATTGCCAGTTTTTGAGAGTCTGGAAGAAATCCATCATGACCCTTAAGTATAAAACTCCTTGGGCAAAGTGTTTTGGTTTTAAACTCTTTGGAAACCATGAATAGCAAAGATCTATCAGCTACCATGTGTATACAGTATGGGGTAGGATATGGTCATCACTTCTTTTTGTAAATGCTGTTGATTATTCTACAAATAAGCTATGAAAAGATTAAGGCAACAATGATTGCACAATAAAGATTTGAATACATAATAGCTAGAAATGATTCTGAATCTGCATCTCAGATATGAACCACTGAACTGGGGACACTTGCAGTTTTAGTTTTCATTTGGACTCAGTCCAAAAATATCTTTTTCAGAATCACTTATATGCACATCAGTATGATAAACATATATTTAGCAAATACTGGTAGGGAATGTAATCATCTGAAAAACATGCTAGCATCTTTTGACCTGAGTTTTGTTTTGGCTTTAACGCCTGACTCTTGGTAATGAGTGAGATTGATTGCTTTAGTAGGAAAAAAAACCCACAAACCTTCAAATTTCCTAGCAAGCCCCTAATGCAAAACAAGGAATAACATTGAATTTTTATAATACCTTTGAAATCCAGTTGGAGGATGGTGAAATTGCAGAGTACGCAGATGAGAGCTCAAATGATCCAAATGTGATAGCTTTTTCTGAGTCAATCAGGGTGGGTGGACTCATTACAAGCCTACAAGTCTGCTTTTAATGATTACCCAAACATGATTTGTTTTCTTTAGAGCAGATGCAGCATAAACCTCTCAAAGGTGACAAGCCTTTGACTCACACAGAAGTGTAGGAAGGACAGCAAGTTCGATGAGTTTCTTTTACCAAATTACATACACACACAGAGCTAATTACTAGACATCATTCTCTGAGGTGCTTTTTGATTGACTTTTTGCAGGTTCAGGAAGCAATACTACTCTTAAATGTCTTTGCCATTTTTGATGACTGAGAACGTGCTGGTCATGCATTGAGAGCAACACTTTAACAGGATCCAGCACTGTCTCCTCTTAAGCCTTGTAAACAAAGTGGAGTTAAATAGTGAATGCTACAGATGGCAGTGTTGGTCATTAAGTATTTGAACAAGTGAATTTCAATGAATGCTGAAAAATAAGCCCAGGGAAACAGAGGCTTTATAGAAATACTTTTGAAAGTAAAGTATTAATTTGATCTCATCTTCACTTTTGAGCTCGTTGAATCCTGTTGTGCACACAATTTTTCATGCTGCTTCCTAGCTCTTAACATTTAAAATACAGCAATTTGTGAAAGGTCAGTATGTTCTCCTAGAAGATCTTACAAAGTCTCTAGTGACTTCAGGAGGAGTCCCCATTACTTGCCCAAGCAGGAAATTTATCTAACAAGTAGCTTTTAGCATGATGATAGTGTTTATTATGCTGTTTTTCAACTTGGGACCCAAGGAAACTTTCCAAAGCATTGACTTTCAACTCTGGGCAGTTGACAGTAGAGAAGGGTAGAAGACCATCCTTGGGTAACTTAACAGAAGATCTGTAAATCATTTGGGGTGTGCTGCAGTGAAAAAGTGAAGAGAAAAAATACTGTGGCTTCATAGAAGCAGACAAATTAACTTGCTGTATCGGCTTTGCTTTTGCTTACAGACATTGCAGAAATAAGCAGGTAGTTCAAGATTCTGAACCACTACTGATGAGAATAAGCCTAAGTACAGTCCCTCTCAGCCTCGATGTAATTATTTCTGGTTGCTTACTTTTCACTCACTCCAGAACCTTGTGCTTGCAGATGGACCAGCTACATATCCAGTCCCAGTGCAGAACACCAAGCCGCTACTGACCGTCAGCTTCACATCGGGAGACATCAGTTTAATGAACAATTATGATGACTTGTCTCCTACTATCATCCGCTCAGGGTTGAAAGGTAAAAAGGAAAATTTTTCACCCCGTTCTATGCTCTGTTTTACTTGTACTTTGAATTATGTATCTGTAGGTTACCTTTTTGTGTCTGTCTTCTAACCCAGCTCTTATGCAGCCAGAGCTCAGCTGCTTGTATTGCCGTTATCAGCACTGACACCTGCTGGTGGAAAAGAAATGCTTGTTTTGTGTTTTTTTTTAAATGTTTAAATTTTTTAGATCATGTTTTTATGGCAGCTTTGAAGAGCAAACTGATCTGTTTGCCATTTTTCAGCTGCATGTGCTAATAAGTTTGTTGGTTTGTGTGAAATGGCCCTCTCACATTAACATTGTGTTCATCTTTAATTCACAATGTCTCTTCCCATGCTTTTAGCAATCAGATAAGAATCAGAATGCTCTTTCCCATGTCTTACAAATTTTGGAAACTTGCTAGGATTGTTATTTACCTACAGGCAGGTTATTCTGAGAAGGAAAATTTCACTGATTATTACTGTACATCTTGCTAAATGATATGCTTTAATGTTTGTAAGATCAGTATTCCATGTAAAATGTTTATTTACATTGAAATCTTTACTGATCTTACTTACCAAAAAGTCTTTTATTTTTCCAGCGGTGTCAGTGCTGGCAATTTATGGTATTTTGCCTGCGGACAAGTTTTAATTCACTAAGACACATAAGCACACGGTTAAAAATAGGCTCCTTTCTTTTTTTTTTTGTCTCTACAGGTAAATCGGTTTTATATTAGATGCAAAACAAGAGAAAATTTAACTGTCAGAGCAAATTCTTAGCTGTTCTATAACAGTATAATATCATCGGTGAAAGGTTATCCTAACACCATCGCAGTAGTTTTGGGGTGTTCAGTTATGCAGAGGAATATAACATCACACTGGAGAATTCTATCCCACTCCAAAAGGGGATAGCTTCTGTCTATCCCAAACCAAGAAGTATGTGGTCTGGCAAAAAGTAGCTTCCTGAGGCAATCCTATGATCCAGAAAACTTCTTTTGCCAAAAAAGCTACTTTAAATCTGGGAAACTGAAACCAATATAGAGAAGCTCTTGTAATAGACAGCAGGTTGTGTGCCCAGCATCACTATGAAATTATATTAGATCAGATAAGTAGTTTTCAGTTGTCATCTAGTCTGTGCTTCTTGCTAGAACCAGGAGAAACAAACCCATCTTGTTCTTTGTTTAGTGCTTTGGGGTTCCATCTTCATGAGGATGTTTGTCCTGTTTCTCTTTCCCCATTGATTTTAACTAATGGAAAAAGATTCCTTAATTACATCACCTTCTTCTAGCAAGTTACAGTAAAATATATCTATGGATTGTAAACTGGACTTTATCATTGACATCAGTAGAAGAATGTGCAACATCTTGCTGGATTGGCAACATGTGAGAATGAAAGAAAGGTGCTTGGGATATCTCTGTCTTGTTTTGAAGCTAACAGTTTCATTATGGAAAATACTTTACATTTAGTTGTTATATGGGTATACACATTTTCTGTACCTTCTTATTAAAAATGTTGACAAGCAACTGTCATTTTGTTGGTTGTTATCATGTGCGACAATATGCAACTCCACCCAGCACAGTCTCCATACTCAGAAGCCACTTTGAACACGGCTAAGACTGAATGATTTCCAGTATTGTAAGTCAATTCATGTCTGAAATCTGTAAGTACTGCATTGTGGTTTCTGTAGCAGATGCATTGTCTTCATAGGCTGCAGTAGGCTACTAAATAAATTTTTAAAGCAGACAACTATAAAACTCTTTCATGCAATACCAAAATATTTTTGCTGTTCTACTGGCTTGCTTAGTTGTAATTTTACTGGAAATATTCACATTAAATTGATGCAGAAAAACTTCTGCTGTTAGATGAGAGTTTTGTTAATGGAAGTTCTTCTGTTCATGCAGCTTAAACACTCTGGGAAGTTTTGTTAGGTCTAGTGGAGCTCTTGAACCGTTCAGCTGTGTGTTTTCTTTTTCATGCTTTTTAACTCAGTGGTTCTCAGTGCGCTGATCCTTACAGAACCACTGAACTACATCTGCTAAATATACTGGTTAGCTGCAACTGCTACCTGCAGACCTGTTGCACGTTTAGAGCGCTCTCTGTTAAAGGCTTGTAAACATGCCTGCCATGAGAGATGACTGTGATCCACTAATTCACTTGCAGACCATTACACTATGTGAATCCTCCATCTGATTTCTAATCTCTGAGCTTGCACTGAGACACATTTCTCAACTGAGCTGTTTTATGTCAAGTTTCAGTAGTCTTTGAAGACTCCATTGGTGGTGTGTCATGCTGTGAAGCCATACTGTTCCCAGGGGATGCTGTGAATGACATCCAGCTCTTCGCTGCCTTCGCAACAGCTTTGCTCTAGGAGTTTTGACTGAGAGAGAAAACTGCTGAACATAGTAGTTACTCCTCTTCCTCTAGGTGTAGGGATCAACTCAGGTTTTGCTTGGAGACATTTATCTGAAGGAGATTGCTATTTCACTTTGGTAGTTGTTTAGTTAATCCAGTTAACGCACATGGAGTTGATCTGCCTGCCTCATTGATTTCTGAAACACCCATCATCAGACTCTCTAAAAAAGATTAATTAAATCCCATTGTAGATTACTTAGAGGGCTGAGGACCAACAGGAAAAAAAAAGAAGCATGCAGTGCCTAGCTGTGAAAAAAATATCTTGAGAAACACGTGCCTTCCCTTGGTATATGAGAAGCATAATTCCCATGAGGAATACCAGAAAGTTGAAAAAATACAAAACCATTTTAAATTGCACATAAAAGTCCCTGAAAATGACAAGTTGACATCTTGAAACAATTTTGAGATCCTTCTTGCCAACTCTCATTTCTCTCCTGCTTCTTCATTTGAAGACAGCTTCTCGCCCACAAATATCTTCAAAAGGTTCTTGGCAGATTGAGCATCCCAGAGCACAAAAGTTTTGTCTTTACCATCACTTTGTCTCAGCACAAAATAGCTGCCTTTCACCTCCGGTTTAAGAGTAAAAAGATTTAAAGACTAGCTCAATATTCCTTGTACATGCAAATTTGCATCTGAAACACAAGCAGGAGCACAAAGTACTGTTTTGGTGTGACAAAGAGCTGGAAGATATAACAATTTGAAATTAGCATCCCCAAATTAAACTGTGGATGTTCCTCATTGTGAGGTGCCTGTAGAAGTAACTGATATGTATATTCATATCCACGTATATGAGAGACTAAGCAATCCCTGTGTGCTTCTGGCAAACTCCTGCTAGGCTGAGGATTAAATTTTCAAAAGTCAAGTCGAAAGAAAATGTGTGACATGGAGGCCATATGTATTTATGGAGAAAAATCCAAAAGTCTTTCATTCTTGATGTTACAGATTTTGAGTTATACTAAAAGTTACATTTACAGCCAGTGAGAATGTGAGGCACTGCTAAACATGCTGGTTTTTTGCACTGTAGGGCTCTCCAGACGAACAGTCTTTGCTACTCAGTGAGTTTATTTATCTGGGCATTAAAGTGATTCCACTTATTTACCACAAAGCTATGCTCATCTTCCTCACTAGTTTTAATATCGCTGCTAAATTCTTGTAGTTACATACCTGGGAACGACCACTAACTTACATTCTACACTTCCACAGGAATAGATTGATTAGTGAGTTGTTACACATTTTGTTGCAGTTCACAAAATAAAAAGGAAGCAGCATTCTCAAAAGTGCATTTACAATGCATTAGCTGCTATTTTGATGAAAAGATTTAGGGTTTTAAATACTTACATAACCTGCAAGAGTATAATTCAGATTCTCAAATCACTTGGGTGCATCTGGAAAATGATTCCTGTTGTTTCTAATAAGAGGTTATTGCCAACTATCTTTGCAATTTCAGATGTGGTGGTACAGTGGTGCACACAAGGAGACCTACTTGCAGTAGCAGGGATGGAGAAGCAGTGTCAACTCGTTGAACTTGGCAATGGTTCTCTGTTGAAAAGTGCGCTTGTCAAGTTCTACAACGTGCGCGGGGAACATATCTACACTCTGGAGACACCTGTGCAGGTAGGAGAGAGATTGTTTAAATCAGTTTTTAATGATTTTCTGGCATACTTTTCATACATTGTTTTTTTGGTTTAGACTTGTAATATGAAAAGGATTGTAAAATGTCCTACTGCATTCCAAAAAACAATACTATAAAAATGCTCCATAGTTGTTATTTGTATTACAGTAAACATCCAAGAATATATCTGATTCTAAGGCTCACTGTGCTTAGGTCTTGTGCAAATATAAAATGAGAAATGTTCTTTTTCTTAAAACCATTGGGCCACAAGTGGACAAGACAGAAAAGGGAAATTCTGTCATTTCTCAGATGAGTGAGGGCAAAAAAAACAGGTAACTTGCTTGATGTTGTAGCAGAGCCAAGAACTGGTGTAATATGGTCCAAGTCCAGTATCAAGATTATACGCTCTTGTTACTGCTATAATTTTCTAATGTATGATCAGTTGGTCTGATGCAATATTTTGCTTGTTATGACATCAGATAGACAAGGAAGAATCAGGATGTCTTATTTCAGTTTCCACTTTCTGTACAGACTTCCACTGTAACTTTGGTCATGTTACTTGACTATCAAAAGGACATGGACTACATGCTGCTCAGGAGCACAACTGTTTGTAACTCTTCACTGTTCTTCCAGAACACAGCTGAAAGTCACTCTACAGTTTATCTCATTTTCTGTAGAATAGGGATGACTCCATTCTCATTTCTGACAGTTACTAGGAAAACTTACATAATTTATAACAACTTTGAAATCAAAAAGTGGCAAAAAATGTTGTTTACATATAATCAATGATGATATCATGTATTGCTGTTTCTTTTTCAGTACCCTGAGCTGAGATGGATACAAAAGGATGACATAGTAAATTGGCTGCTTTTGTTTTTACTTATGTTTATTTAGCATTAACCTGTGCTTCCTAGCTTTAGCACTCTAATTTAGATAGAATTATTTCGTTTTGTAACATATAAAATGATGTTTTCTAAAACCACCCTAAATAAGTACAGAGATGACTAATGCTGATTTAGATACTTAAAGGACTTACACGTACACAGTTTTATTATCTTAAACATAGTTTATCAAGCAAAATAGTGCACCCATATTCACAGTGGATCACTTCTGGAGAAAACGTTATACCAGTGATACTTACTCCCAGACCAGGTTAAAAAGTTTATTCTTAAAAGTTACTATAAAAGTTACTCAGTTCCAGAATACAGTATGTCTGTTTTACCTGTGGAACCAGTACAACACTTGGGTGTCAAGCGGTGAAATCAAGTTGTTTGAGCAGTAGAATGGATTGGGAGAGATTGCCTTGAGATGTATGTCTGTGCAGCCTTGCTGCTGTCTCCCCACTTTGTTCCCAACAACCACAAATTCTCTCTTACCTCCATGCTTTCATTTCCTCTAGTTCTTCTTACATCCCTTCAACTTCCTTTTATACATTCGTCTCTTCTTCCTTCTCTGCTTAATCATTTGGGGGAAAATGAGCATGTATTGTGGCTGATGAGTGTTAGTTATTTTGCCTATTAAATAATAGTATCATAGGATCAGAAAGGTTGGAAAAGATCTCTAAGATCATCTAGACCAACTGTCCACCTAGCATCAATAAACCATGTCCCTAAGTATTACATGCACCTCCATGCACAGTGATTCCACCACTTCCCTGAGCAGCCTTTTCCAAGGCATTGCCACTCTTTTGGAGAAGAAGTATTTCCTTGGTCTTGTACTTCATCCCATTGGCCTCAGGCCATTGATCCAGTCTCTCCAGATCCCTCTGTATGACTTCCTACTCTTAGGCAGATCAACACTTCCCCCCAATTTGGTGTTGTCTGCAAACTTACTGAAGGTGCATTCAATCCCCTCATCCAGATCAACAGCATTCATAGTGCTGTTCCCCATGAATGCTCATTGAACAAATGGACAGGTCATACAGTACTTTTCATAGTGAAAATAATTAACCCCAACCCCTCTGTTCTTTCCAGCTGCTAACTTTCACTAAAGTTGCAGTTTTTTATTATCATGGATATCTTCCCCTCTTTATTGGCCAACCGCTTCAGAACAAGGATAGAAGTGAAAGAGAGGTGGAAAACCACTCATTAACACAACAATCATGCTTATTTCCTTGAGAAACTGTGCTAAAAATATTCCAACTGATATATTTATGTTAATTAAAAACTTGTGTGCATAAGCTTGCCTAGAAGTAGAGCCACTCCTTTCCTGTCATTTGTCAGTGTTTATTTTCTTTATTTATTGCACTTAAGTTCATATTTAACTCAGCTGCAGGAGGAAGTGAAGGAGATATTTCAGAAAGACACCTGTATCTGCTCATGTGGACTTTACTGTTGTGTGTAATTGATTTCTGGTCTAACAGTGCTACCAGCTAAGTACCAGGTATGCTAGAGCATTGCAAAGTATTTGGTTTACTAGCAAAACCAGATAAAAAATGCTGTTGCAAAAATATCACTGGTAACTTGTTATTCCATGCATCTGCTCCAAGGATATATATGCAGATATGCTACTGAGTCAGGTCCCGGTAATTTGTCTGATTACAAATTCATCAGAGCAAATTCATTGATGATGAATGACAAATGACAATCAGCCTTGTAATGGTATTTCATAAAATTCATCGCTGGTTACTGAAAGTAAATGGAAGAAAAGAATCTGCACATCTCAAACTCTTCTGGTACTAAAACTGTTTATTCCAAAGCAAGCAAAAGTTTGACTGGAAAAGCGTATTTATTCTAAATGAGCATTTTTTCCAAATTTAAGGGTCAAAGGAAGAAAAACAACGATGAACATCGGAAGTAGTGGATTGTTGGTGCCAAACTGAGTTTCTTTGTTGCCCTCTGCCCCAACTCTTTGATAAAGCAGATGTCTGAAATTGTTATCAGTAAAATGTACTCAACTGTCTTTGTTTGTGCTGTATATCTTGGAAGAGTACTAAGGAAACAAAAAATTATAGATTGTTCATTGTAAAACTCAGTCTAAAACTGATGTAGGATTTAAATGTAACTTGGCTGGTACATTACCTAACACAAAGGCACTTCAAACTCTATTGTAAAATAAATTTGGGTACTGCAGTTTGCTGATCCTGATGATGGCTGTTGTCATGGTTCCCTTCAAGGTGTTTTGTATGCCACCTTCTCCTCCAGCCTTAGTATGTTTTTGCCATCCTCCATATCATTTGATTAACTCTTCTAAGCACCTTCAGTGTAGGATTTTATGGTTCATAAACCTAGTTTGCTGACTGTAAAACCCTAGGTAGGGAAATCACGCTTGTTTAGAAGTATCCAAATGAACACTGTAGCTTTGTATGAAAAATAATATTCATAAACAGAATGATAGAGCTCTCTGTGCTGGGACTTCAGCCTGACATTCTGCAATATATTTGCAATATATATTTGCAATATATGTTTGCAGAATGTAGTGCAAAGATAAAATCTCAAGTCCCTTTGGAAAGTTACACTAGACTTTAATGTTACTGGAAGCAGTTATATCAAAACTGAGTTCATATTCCAGAGAATAGTGATTATTGATTTGATACAAACACATTACCAATTTCTGTAAATCTTAGAAATTACTGTTTTCGCTCTCATGTACACAAATATTAACCTGATGAACTAAAACTGTGCCCAGTTCTTCTAGCTGGCAGTTTATTCATGGCCTTGCTTTCGCAGCACTTAAAACACTGATTAAAACTGCAGGCTGCCTTGCTGGTTATAATTTTTTAATCAGAAGAATGTTTATTTCTTACGTTTTTTATTAAAACCTCATAACTTTCTCCTGGCACGAAGCAAATATGGGACTAACAGTAAGTGGCCAAGGCTGTTTTGCAGTCTTGCTAAAATCGGTTATGGGAAATGCTGCGTCTGAGTTCTGTCACTTCTGAATTTCTCATCTGAGAAGCAGACAGGGTTTTTTATTATATCAGCTAACAATACCTGCTGTCAGAAAGCTTACTTCTGAGTGGATAAAGCTGCTTTCTGTCTTCTTTCTTTGGACTTTAAACACGGGTGTCTCCTGCAGTCTCACTTAAAAAATGTCTGTCTACCAACTTCACCAGACCTGTGAAGTTGTCCTGTTTGTTGGTTCAGATTTGTTATTTCTATTTTGGTTCCTTTGCTTTTTATAATTTTCTTTCTCATATATCCAGGGGAACAAGAGCATGCAAAACCCTGGTACTGATCTCATCTCAAATTTATAATCCTAAAGAAGGTTAGATTATAATTTTATCTCGTTATGTAATTGCTGTATGAACAGATTACACGAAGATTGCAATGAAGAAGATGAGAGCAGGTTGAGCCCAGCATGTCTCCTATTGAGCTGCTGTATGTGTGGGCAAGAAAGTCAGATGCAGTAAAAGTGTAGTCACATTTTTCTTAATGCAGTATTTTTAGACCCTAACTCAAAGCAGTATACCAAAGTCTACATCTTTATGGGAGAGGTTTCCAGCTGCCTTTGAGAAGACCTGCTTGCTCTAACCATACTGCTATCAGTAGAAGCCCTTGTGACGTTTCACAGGCTGCTTCTTTGCTGGAAACTTCTGGGCACCTGAAAAGTTAGATGGAAGACTGTGTGCTTCTGCAGAAATCTGGTAATTGTGTAGAATTCATTTTACTAAAGCCTGAGAAAAGAGGCACAATTTTAGGTTAAATTCAGATCAAAAGGACTGTGAGAGGAAGAGGCTGTCTGTTATGTTCCCCAGCCGAGCTAACTTTGCTTACTTTGTCTCCATTAATTTCACATACCGTGTTCAGGTTTGCTGCTTCTGAATTAACATTGCCGTTTGTTTTCTATCACCTGAAATGAGTCTCATTTAGTTGACATTGGATGGCACCAAAATTTTGGAGAATTTAATTTGTTACAGAAAGATAAACAAGAGCAGTGGCTCAGAACTAGCTGGCCTAACATTCTTTGGGATTTCAATAAGGACCTTAATGTTTTACAAATAGGCCATGAGATCATCTCTGACTGCTGCACAAATGGATTGTGATCAGGACTGCAAAATGGGTTCTGTCTAGCCATATTTGGCTGAGAACAGCCTCGTTCTGTGAAGAAGGATTCTCACATTTGTACTGAAATCTAAACAGAAACAAAAAAAAATCACTGTAAAAGCAGAGGATATAAGAAACATTTGCAAATCAAATAAGAGTTTGCTGCATGAAAAAAATCATTTAAGTAATACAGTTTTTGGTGAGGTCATGGAACTTACTGCTTTTATCATCATCAGTTCTCTTAGTTAGTATTATTCCCATTGTAAACATAGGAACAAAAGAATGAAGAAGTTGCACTGTTTCCAGTAGTTATCCTTGAACTCTGGAGCAGTACAGAGATGCGTGCACAAAATTCCTGAGAGCCAGATGGGCACTTAGCCATTCTACCTTCTGATTTCTCTGAAATAAAAGCAGAGGGAAAGACAAAATGTGTATCTCCACAATAGCACTTTACATTGAGAGAAAGCAGGCAGGGTAGGCTAGAGTTTCTACTTTGTACGTACCATTGGTACCATACGTACCATTGACTGGATACAGTTCTGCATTTTGGTTTCTTCTCCTGAGAAAATCCCCTTTTCCTGGATCTTCTGCCTTGAAATATCTGCCTTTGTTCATCTCGTTACCCGTGGGACTTCCAGTAGTCAAGGGTCCTAAGGTCCCCTGACCTTAGAACTTCTGAACTCAAGAGATGCAACAAGGAGCACCTTGCATGGTGTTCTCCTTGACTGAACTTTATACGAGTGATGAGAAGTTTTTAAATTGTGTTTTTTCCTGTAAGAGAGACTTTCAAATCCACTCTGAAAAGAATGATAATAGAACTTGTTGACTGGTTTTTGAGATGTGTTTTCAGACAATATTTCTCCTGATAAAACATTACGTTTTTTGTTCTTCATTATTTCTAATATACAAAGCTGAGTTCCTTTGACGTTTGTTCTGTTGTTCTTTTGTTGTTTTTTTTTTCATGTTTGCATCTAAATCAGGAACTCACTCAGGTCTTTATACTTTGTGCTAAGATCTTTCAACACCTGACTTAACTGCAAAAGGAGATTAGAAATTATCATTAGAAGTTATATGTCCAGCTGCATTTCCTTGTTCCTAGAAGAAATGAACACGTGTGCAGCCGTGGAAAATAAAATTCCACTTTCTTGGAGTCTGCAGTATCTGTATCGACACCTTTTCCTTCCTTGTTTACTAAAATAATAGAAATAAGCAGGTGCTTTATAAGGAACAATACTTTTGCATTGAACACTGCAGATCAATCGCTTTTCCTCAAGTGTTTGAAGTCAGTGCTGTAGCCAGCTAATGATTGTCTTGCAGTGATAATTGATTCATGTCCCTGTCCTTCAAGGGAAGGAGTGGGAAACCTCGTTATTGAGAAATATTATTGGAGCAGTACATTTAAAGGTCAGGTCATATCTGACATTTGGGTGATCTTCTTATTTCCCCAGGCATTTAGTCATGCTCTAATTTTTCATGAACCTCATCTGAAATCCTAGACCTTCCCTGTAAATGAAGTGTTGCTGGATATTAGACTTGAGGGATATTGGGAGTCTGAGCATTCTATAGAAAACGGAGGCAAAGCATGCCTGGTGAATCAGTAAGCAAATGCAAACCAATATTGTGTAAATGCCCTTTGCCAAGACTGAGAATGTTAAGAGTAAAACATGAGGTGTATGGGAGGCTAAATATACAAAGAAAGAATACAAATGTCATGATGCAAGCAGTTCATCCCTTGTAGGTATTATGTGTATGTGTGCATTTGAATGTACACCTGCTTGTACGTATTGTTTACATAAACATATGCTAAAAATGCCTAACCAATGGGATCAAGCCTAGAAAAGTTAAAAAATGGCTGAGTTATGGTTGTCTGCTGGGAAACAGATGAGATCATGCCATGAAGCAGTCCCTTTTGGCATCTGGCTTTTTGCTCATTCTTAGCTCCACAGTGCTTTATTGCCAAAGGACCCACCCAACATTTCAAAGCTACTGAAAAAGCTCTTCTTTGGGAATGCATTTATGATTACAGAGGTTCTTGCACTGGTGCTATCTGCTCCTCTCTGTGCTCTAATCTGAGGGCAGAAATAGTTTCATTTGACTCAAATAACTGGTTGAGCAGAGGCCTGTCTGGGTTTGATGTATTGAATTATGATAGCTGGGATAGTATACTTCATGATCTGTTCTGCTGTGAAACTCTGTGCAAAAAGTAAACATTTTTGTGCGAAGTCATACATTTGTTTATTCCCTGACCTTGTTTATAGATAAGCTTTAATTGATCAAACACGACCAGACAGACGTGGTTTGGATCCCACAATAACTATTAGGTAGATAGTTCTGCCCATGCTGAAATGCAATTCTTGGGGAAATCAGGGTCACTTCTCCTAGTACCTTCCTCAGACTGTCGTACTTCAGATGTGGCAGATGCTTAACTTTTGTCAGTGTCTTTTCAATCATGTTTTACAGGCAGCTATTGATGAATTGTCTCATTGCTATTAAACAGTATGAGGGCTGAGCTTACCCTCAAATAACGAAAATAGCCATTAATAGATATTATTAGATAATATTTTATGTGATCATTCATCAAATCAAAGACTGGACTGTCCCACAGTTTATGGTTATGACAAGCTATGTAATAAGTATCAGTGGTACACAAACAACTTCTCAGTTCTTTTGAAGTTCTCTACAGAATGCCTTTAGCAATTACTGTTAAAATCACAATATTCACATATTGTTGCTTCCATTTACGTATCAGTCAGCCTGAAGGTTTGTGCATTCAGAGAAGTGTTTGTGGTGTTGCCTCTCGAGGTCTTCTGCTTTTAAAACCAGTATTTTCATTGAAATTTAAATCTAGGGTAAAATTACATAGCAGGAAAGGTCTTTTCTCTGAAAAAAAAAAAATAATCTGCCACCAGCCTTTTATCTTGATGATAGGCACTGATATCGTGCTGTGCAACTGCATTTTGCTTTATATCATTCACTGAGAACCATATTCCCCTAGTTTCTCATCTTCAAGCTTTTTGAATTGGTAAATAAAGGGAAAACTTTTTGCTCCCAAACTAGATTAGTATCTTCTGGGCTAATCTAACCCATTTATGTGGGTACCGTATTACCAGAGAGGAGCAGATAAAGATTAGTACTGAGTGTGCCCTGACCTTTTTCTTCTGTGTAGTTAATTCTTGTTCAGTGCATTATGATATTCCAAAGAGACCCTGACCTTAAGGGAAATACAGTTCATAATTTAGTTAAGAATATGTTCACTTAAATTTTTAAGTGCTAAGGATTGTGAAAAAAAAGAAGCCCTTCACAGGAAGGAGTGAGCCTTTTTCAATTCACTGATTACAGCCTTCTGTACAGTGTGCCTTATGGATTGGGGATGTCTTCCTTGTCCTAAGCTAATTTTTGGTACAGAGATAACAGCTATGGGATGAAGATTCCTTAGAGTGTGTGTATATGTGCAAACAAAGATGTTTGTAGCACGTCAAGCAAGAGATGACAGCTGACTGCAGCTTACCCTCACAAAGGGCCAAAATAACAGTGATAGTGCTATGTCAAGACACAACAGTGCTTTGCATAAAAAAAGATGGATTTTGGCCCAAAAGTTTAGAAAGCAGGCACAAGGAGCTGTCTGGGAAAGAACTCATAGATGTTTGTGGGACAGTTTTACCCATGAGGATTGTCTTGCATCCTGGAGAACAAGTTTACTCCTACCTTAACAGGCATACTTCCTAAGAGCTGGTATTTATAAAAGCATCCATTCCATTCAGTTTTTAGTTAGGCAGTTACTTATACATGCAATGTGATCCTTTTTTAATTTGTTCTAAATCTCTACACGGCTTGCTGTTATCGTGTGAACTCAATATTCATGCAGCATGGAATAAGGTGCAAAGGAGGGTTTGAGTGATTTTTTGTTATGCTGCTCTGAATTCTGCCATTTAGGGCCAGTCACCTCTGACTCTCTTGGCTGTCTACTGCCATGAACATGGATGTATCTGAATATAGATAAATAGGAGACAAAAAGGCCATGGTGATCTCTTACAGCTCATTTCCTCGGGTAGTAGTTCAAAAAAGACATAATGCAACAAAAGAAGGAGTGCAAGACAAGAAAGCCAAGTGAATCTTGTCCACTAGTTTAGTAGCTGTCTTTGGACATGTAGTCTGGATTTCGGTTGTAAAATGGGATCCATTAACAGTGGATGAAGGTTGATTATATGACTGAAAAAATAACGTGGATGGTGCCTCAAAAGATCCTGCTCTTTAGCAGTGTATGACTTTTAAGTCATATGTCCTTATAGCGCCTCATTTTTTTCATCTCGTTGATGAATTTGGTAGACAGTTCCTTATGTGAAGAGCTTAAAGTTTTGCAAGTAAAAAGAACTGCATGTGTATCAACTGTGGGTATCAATAATTTCAGGTGTCCACATTTTTCTCCCTTTTTATGGGCAATAGCATGCTTTTCTAAGTTTCTAGAAGATTTAGTGTAGCTTAATTGGTGCTGTATTCAGATGATCACTCGCTGTGCAATTGTTTGGGTGAAGGTGTATGATCTTCTCAAGTTGTGCCCTTTTCCTCCCCGTGCAGCGTCCCATCATCTCCATCTGCTGGGGTCACAGGGATTCACGCCTGATGATGGCTTCTGGGCCTGCACTATATGTTGTCAGAGTAGAGCACAGGGTCTCCAGCCTGCAGCTTCTGTGCCAGCAGACCATTGCTAGCTGTCTGCGAGATGACAAGGATATCAGCAAACTCACCCTTCCCCCTCGGCTCTGTTCATACCTCACCACTGCCTTCATACCAACAATCAAGGTAAAAGGAAAGCAGCATGTGTGCGCATAAAAGAGAAAGGGGTTGCTTGATTTTCTTCTCCCTGCTGCTCCTAAGTGACAATGGGTAAAATCCTGACCCTACATAAGTATGATAAAAAAGCATGAGTAAGGGTCACTCCTGTTCAAGGACAGCAAAGTCGGTGATTATTGTGGTGCCTACTGAAATGTGAAAAGAGAGCTTACACACACTGATCTGTACTACTGTGCATGGATGGCTTTTCCAAGGGCATTCCAAGGTACAATATGCTGTTAGCTCAGGAAGACTGCAGAAGTAATTGTGTCATAGTTTTAGGAGACGTTCACAGTGGTAAAACTGTTACATCTCTCCTTGTTGCATGACTCCTTATATTGCCAGGAAAGATATACTTAAGATCCATGTCTACCCAAATATCTCTACTGACCGTGAGTTCTTCTAACCTTACTACTCCAACAGTGCTGTGAAAAAATAAAGCAGATATCCTATCTTTTCTTGTACTACTAGCAGAGCTGCTTGCAGAGCCATCTGCTCAATCTTATTTTTTCATATTTTTGCTCTCAGGTACATCTTAGGATTTCTGAACTCTATCACAGCCTGTAAACTAGAGCATCAGCTAGTACATGTCCTACATCCAAATATGTGTTCTCGTGTTATGTATTTTTTGTGCATGCTTAACAGCATTTTCTCAAACAAGTTTTGAGCCATCATTGTAACAGTATGACTCTAGAATAACTAATTTGAAATCTGTCAAGTTGGCCCAGCTTAAATAAGAGCAAATTATGCTTGTAATGTAATGGTTCTATACAGTTCCATTTGTGTACTCCTAATCAGGGCAATTTGTGTGACTGTGAAACATTTCACTTACCAGAGAAGAATAAATGCCTTGCTGTAACCATGGCTCCTTGATCTCCAGAGATACAGAGCATTCAGTAGACCAGTGGTAAAGAAACACACGTTAGTGTTATTGGTGTCATACAGGCTATATTGTCGTAGACAAAAGCAGTCTAACTGCTTTTGGACTGTGCTCTTTGTGGATTAATGCAGCCTGCTGGCAAGCAGGGCAAAATAACCCACCTTGAGTTTCAGACTCATAGTTCTCTACACAGCATGCAAATAGACCCTCGTCGGAGATGGGTCGTGTATTCGGAACTAAGTGGGATTGATAGAAGAGTACAAGCTCTTTCCAGAGCTGACAACGTAGTAGCATAGTGTTATAGAATGCACCAGTACTAATGAGGAATGGGAACGTGAATGGCCAAGTTCACTTTTGGGGACAGCAAGAGAGAAGATAGAAGTCTGAAGCTTTGACTTGACTGTGTTACCCAAGTTAAAATTTGTTATCAAGTTTGTGATTGATGGAGCTGGAATTTGAATACAGATTTGTTATCTACAAGTCCAGCCTTCCTCTTTGATATGATTACTCTTAGTTTCTCAGTTTTAAGCTGTTTTAAGCCTAACTGAGCAATAAACAGCCCCACTGTTTTGTGTGTTGCTCATGTATAACCCAGAGTAAAGTGATCTGCCAAGTTAGAGCTGGATTCAAGTTCAGTTAGTCACGTCAAGATTAAATCATCCCCCCCAAGAAAAAGAACAATAACCTATGGGAAACTTTCTCTTTCCTTCCTTCGTTTCATTAAGCCTCCTATCCCAGACCCAAACAATATGAGAGATTTTGTCAGCTATCCAACAGCTGGCAATGAACGTCTTCATTGCACGATGAAGAGGACAGAAGATGACCCAGAAGTTGGTGGCCCGTGTTATACTCTGTACTTGGAATATCTTGGGGGATTGGTGCCCATCCTAAAAGGACGTCGTATCAGCAAGTTGAGGCCAGAGTTTGTCATTATGGATCCTAAAACAGATGGAAAAGCAGGTAAAAGTGAACTGTAGTACTACATAAAAATGATTTTAAAAGACTTCAGGTATTAAAAGTTCAACAGTTAAAGAAAATCTTTGTAAGAAATATGGAAGCTGGTATCTGTTTTTTTCCTTCTTTTTCTGCTGGGGAAGAGTTTTTAGCATGATCTAGGCTCAAGCCTCTCAAATTATATCATACTGTCAAAGAGAACTTGTTATATTTTGAGTAGAAGAGAATAGATTGGTAATTAGCAGAAAATATTTTTTAGTCTCGATTTTGAAGTCACTTGAATGTGATTCAGCCCTCTGAATCATGTACACTTGAGTTTAGACCACTGGAAACTTGGGCTAGGCACGGTGAAGAACAGTTAATTATGTCTTTATACTTTTATTTCATCTACCGCCCATGGATCAGATTTATGCTTCTGATGACTGATAGTTGTAATTGATATCAGTTTTCTGAAGCAGCACTTACATTTTTTGGGGCCTGTTTTGATAGATGAAATCTATGGAAACAGCTTGATTTCCACTGTGATTGACAGCTGCAACTGCTCTGACTCCAGCGATATCGAACTGAGTGATGACTGGGCAGCAAAGAAATCTCCCAAAATCAGCCGAGCTAGCAAATCACCCAAACTTCCCAGGTAATCATTTCTTGAATATTGCCTCATCTTTTTCCCCAGGTTTTCTTTCTGCCTCCCTCCCTCCCTTTCTTCCATTCTAACAGTTTCTTGACACTTCATAAAATTTAAAGCAAACTCCTTTGGGCAGATAGGAGCCTTCTGGAGCACTGAGGTCCTCTGCCATGTACAGTTCCAGACTGATCTCAGATATTGTTGTTGAGGTGGACTTTGAGGAAAGTGCTGGGGCAAAAGGTAATGGGAAGCAATAAGGCACCCTTCTTCCCCAGCATCCTCAATTTTCACAAGTAGGCTCAAAGAAAAACCTTATGAACTCTCCCACTTCTGCTCTGCTGTACATGAACTCTTGCCACCATGGAATGTATTTCATCCTTCAGACAGTTCATGTTTTAAGTCTTCTGTGCTTAAAATCCCTGATCTAGTTAAAGACTGTACTTCCTCAGGGGTATTTTCAAGTTCAGAAATCCATGCGATTGATCCAGTTATAGGGGGCACATCTGTTGCTGTGGCGACCTTGCAAGGAAGAATTAGCAAATATCCTCCCGATCACTGAGTTGACAAGGCTTTGTAATGGAACACAGAACGAGTTTCTAAGTTGTTAATGTGTCTGATTGCTCTCCTGCCAGCTCTTCATTACGTTTATTATGTGCACAGACAGAACCCTCCACCTGCGCAGAGCCTCATGGGTGTCTGTGATGGTTCTCATAGGCACTGATGTCTGCATGCCAGCTTCATGTTACAGGTTTGATGCCTTTCAGTTGCAGACAATGCCTTTCCAAAGACTTCATAGTATGGGGCTGTCCTAGCAGAAAGCAAAGGAAATGTGTCTATTTATATGTGAATGTAATGTGTGAAAGTTTTTATTTCAGTAGTACTTGACAAAAGAGCCATGAATACCTGAACCTAAAACAGAAATAGCTCAGGTAAAGAAACTGTCTTGCTGCTTGGTTTTCTGAAAGCTTTTGCTTTTGCTCTTTCTGTTTCCCACCAGTGAACTTTTTCAGTTACATTATCTCTTCTTACTCATGATGCCCTTTGTATAATGTGGGGCAGGAGTATTTGGCTCAGAGTGAGATCACTGGTTATGGAGCCTTGATTTGCCATATTAATGCAGAGATTTGTCAACTGAAGTGTCACGTTTCTATTTCTTGAGGGTTTGCTTGAAGTCTGAAGCTGAAATAACTCAGCTATACACTATTTTATTAATTCATGGAGGATATACTACATCTGGTAAACTTTCTTAAATGATTCTGAAGATACCCAATCTGAGTAACTGCAAATGTACCAAGCTTTACACATTTTTACATTTAAACTGTAACTCTCCACAGTGTAGATTATATAGTCTACACTATGCTAGGGGCTGGTGCTCTTCAATATCTTCATCAGTGACATAGATGATGGCATCGAGTGCACCCTCAGCAAGCTTGCAGGTGACATCAAGCTGAGTGATGCAGTCGACACATGGCAAGGAAGGGAAGGCATCCAGAGGGAACAGGACAGACTGGAGAAGTGGGCTCATGAAAGCCTAGTGAGATTCAGCGAGGCCAAATTCAAGGTGCTGGCACTTGGGTCGTCAGGACAATCCCGGGTATTTATACAAACTGGGGGAAGATCTCCTTGAGAGCAGGCCTGCAGAGAAGCCCCAAATCCTTCTTCTGGTGGACAAGAAGCTGGACATGAGCCAACAGTGTGCACTTGCAGCCTGAAAGGCCAACCGTGTTCTGGACTGCATTAAAAAAGGGTGGCCAGCAGGGAGAGGAAGGTAATTGTCCCTCTCTTCTCAGCTCTTGTGAGGCCCCATCTGGAGTACTGCATCCAGGCCTGGGGCCCCCAGTGCAGGAAGGATGTGGAGCTCTTGGAGTGGGTCCCAAGGAGGGCCACTAAGATGATCAGAGGGCTGGAGCACCTCTCCTATGAGGAAAGGTTGAGGGAACTGGGCTTGTTTAGCTTGAAGAAGAGAAGGCTCCAGGGAGACCTCATTGTGGCCTTCCAATATTTGAAGGGAGAGTATAAACAGGAGGGGGAAAGGCTGTTTACAAGGATGGATAGTGATAGGACAAGGGGGAATGGTTTTAAACTGAGACAGGGGAGGTTTAGGTTGGATATTAGGAGGAAGTTGTTCACCCAGAGGTTGGTGACACACTGGAACAGGTTGCCCAAGGAGGTTGTGGATGCCCCATCCCTGGAGGCATTCAAGGCCAGGCTGGATGTGGCTCTGGGCAGCCTGGTCTGGTGGTTGGTGACCCTGCACATAGCAGGGGGGGGTTGAAACTCTGTGATCATTGTGGTCCTTTTCAACCCAGGCCATTCTGTGATTCTTCGTTAGACACTGTACCAGCTGCCTTCATTACCATCTTTATATTCCTAAGCATGTTTTTTTTGCATTTTTGCATGCCAGTTGATTATTCTAATTGTTGCTTCCTATGCAGAATCAATATAGAGGCTCGCAAATCTCCAAAGATGTCACGAGCTGCACAGGAGATATCAAGATCACCAAGGTTACCAATAAGGAAACCTTCTATTGGTTCACCAAGCCTAACCCGAAGAGAGTTTCCTTTAGAAGATATTACTCAGGTATTGTGTGCATTGTTACCAGACCTGAGCCCACATGCTGTGGTACACATCCAGTGATCCTGAATAATTTTTTTTCACTTCTTTACAGCTACTAGATGGAATGCTGCTATAATTGCATGTTCCAAGTCAATATTAATGTTTGGAAATGTCAGTGGAATGTCAGGCATTGTTTGCTAAGTTCTGCCCCCAGTAATTTTGTCAGTGTGAATCCATGTGAGAGGTTTTATATGAGTTGATGCTGTTGGCTGTTTGAAAAGTATATGTAGAAATGTTTCTTATTCCGTTTTTCTGAGCTGTCCTAATGCCATTGTAGTTCCCTGATTTGCTAGGGATCTGCAGAGACAAGATTGCTCTACAGGGCCAAATGTTCTCTGTTTTATAATTGTGTGGAACAGCTTTAATTGGAAGGAAGGCAAGAAATTAGCACTTGGTGTTCTTTGTGTTGTTCACATTCTGTGGGTAAATGAAACTTAGCAGCCTGTAAAACTGTCTGGATTAGATACACATTTAATTAATACCAGTCTGAATTCTTTTTGTTTTGTATTGTTTCAGCTGTTTTTTTCCATTCTGTCATTTCTCTTTCTCCTTCTTACAAAAATCTCATAGTAGGTCAGTTACACAGCAAAACAGGACATGAGACCAAAGGCTTGGATCTTGTTCTGATATGGACAGCATAACTCTTGGCTTCTGAGAAAATCTTTTAATCTTTCATACCCATAATTTGATCACCATGGAAGCAGTGGTTTGGGAAACTGCTTTGGAAGCTGGTTAAGAATAATTCATTTATATTTTATTTATTGTTTTGTAAAGTGATTCTGAAGCATAGAACCAAAGGACAGACGGTATTATTTTCTGAGTTACAAACTAGTTGAACTCATAATATACAGAAGAAGCAAGTGGTCGTGTTCTTCTAAGCAATGTTGTTTAGATGTTAATCAACTTTCACTACTTCCACAGCTTTAGCTGATTGTTGTAGATATAATTTCAGATGGTGTTCAGACATCAAAATGAGGCTTTTTAATGACTGGATATAACAGTTCCTACACAGACACTTTAGGTATTTCAATTATAAAAAAAAAAAAAGCTGAAATTGTATTATTACATAGCTTTATTGCTCTGCAGGTTTTATTAGAGCTTGATATAGATCTTACTAGGTGAAAATGATGTTGTTTTTTCTTTGTAGCACAACTACCTTGCTCAGGTCACATCTAACATCTGGGGAACCAAATTTAAAATTGTGGGTTTGGCTGCTTTCCTACCAACTAATCTTGGTGCAGGTAAAAGCAAATTCTGTTTCCTTTTGCATATTAAGCTTTCTAACAAATAAGAAATTTACAATATACATTCTTCCTAAGTGATCAAAAAGCTTCTTTAACAGAGCAGTTGTTTTCTCTGGACATTGGGAATTAGAATTTACAAAATTCGCTGTACCTGAAAGAGATTCAGATCTATAAATACAATAATGAGGTGAAAATGTTAAAAGTCTCAGGTGTAATAGATTAATTAACAGTAAAGCACAGACCTTTATTCTTACAGTTTATTTGAACAAAACCCAAGGTAATAGACAACATTTTTGCAAGGAAGATATGAAAATCACAGTAGAAGTGTTTTTAAAAAATCCATTTTTTGTAGTAATTTACTTGCTAATTATACCAAAATAATGTAAAAATCACTCTTACAGACCATGCTGAAGATTCTACAAGTCTCAGTGGGTAGCATTATCACATGATTCTCTTTCTGGGTTATTCCTAGACTGGTAGCCTTAAAAGTAGTGATTGTCTGCTCTTTTGATCTTTTTCTAGGTAGGCCTTTTCTCCCTAGACAGTCCTACCAAAAGAAAATGGCTAAGCAAAGAGCAGGGTATTTTGCAGAATCAATAGCAGGACTGAGCTCTGAACTGGAATACCAACAGAAGCTCTAAGAACTAATAACAATGCCCTGGATGCAAAATCAAACAGATATTTTTTGTGTCTGTATTGACTACCATCAGACAAAAGATGGAATCCTAGCTACTGGCAAGATGAACCCCTCTGAACCAGCCTTGGAGCAAAGATTGTCCTCAGGATTTGTCACCCCACAGACAGCTACTGTAGGGCTGTGGCATCTTCTGCTTACTGAAGTGTTACACAGTGATTGATTCCAGCCACTTTGTTTTACAAGTCCGTTATCAGTTTTTGACATCCACATTTACAATGATTGCCAAAGGATAGTGTAAGAGTGACTGTACTGGGTCAGATCAGGTGAATTTCTAATTCAGTATTCTCTCAGTTTCAGGGTAAATATGGTCAGAATTATATAAATGTAGAGTAAATGTGCAGTGGTACTTCCTTCAGATACTGTCCCTGCAGGACCTCGGTCTCAGGGACTACCTGAGCCAGGAGAGTTTCCTTTGTATGTAATAAGCAGATTTCCTTTCTGAGCACTTTCTCATTTTCCCCTGAGTTCTTATAAGTATGTGGCATCCTGTGGTGAAGAGTTCCAAAAGTAGAATAGAAAAATAACTTTCTTTCCTAAAAATAGATGCAAGTACAGATGAAGTAATTCATTTTTTCCACAGCTTAACTAAAGAGATGCTGCTTTTGTTTAAGGAGAAATATCTGAAAGAAGCAATCCCTTTTGTCCTCTTTATGCAAAGTATTACATAGTGATTTGGTTAAGAATGTCTCATATATGCATTTGCTTATTAATAAATCACACAGAAATTATAATAGCCCTTCTATCTGCTTTGAGTTAATTCTTTTTTAGCTTTGTCTGCTCCTTGTGTAACCATTTTTAAAAATTATTTCTTGTCACATTCTGTCTCCAGTAATATATAAAACCAGTTTGCTGCATCTTCAGCCCAGGCAGATGACAATCTATCTCCCAGAAGTGCGAAAGATTTCAATGGACTACATTAACCTGCCTGTCTTTAATCCAAATGTTTTCAGTGAAGATGAAGATGATTTACCAGGTAAGGAGGAATTTAGGCCTCTCAAATTACGGCTCTAGCTAGCTGGAGGACAGATCAGCTCCCTGATAAATACACAAATCAAAATCCCTTAGTCTGGTGGAATCCTGTAGAACTGGATTAGAACAAAACTAGTGCATATTACAGACATTGTTTTATAAAGACATAGAAAAATTTATTGCTTATAGAGCTAGTAAGCTTCATGTGAATTGGAACATTAATCATCTTCTACTTAGTTCACTAGCAGTTTTCTGTAGATTGGAGCCTTGCATTCTGCATCTTTGTAGAACAGAATTATATTGTGTTGGAAGTCTAAAGGGGTTGTTCTTGTGAGTTGATGGAAGCAAAGCACAATCTGATGGCAGGAGCTTGGGCCAATTCCTGACTAACTCAGACACATTTTGTAAAGCGTTTTGTGAATCCCCTTTCGTATTTTTATCAGTAAAGGAGCTTACAAGGAGGCCAAAATAGTAAAGTGTTATGTAAACAAGGAGGATCGGAAAGGAATTTCTAATTTCACTAAGATGTAAGGTAGTGGGACATTCAAGCAGTACAGGGAAAGTTTGGATGCAGGTGATTTGAGTGTGATAGGTAAAAGGGTAGGAAGTACTAAGAACCTTCTCCAATTAAGAATAACAATAAAATGAATAGCCATGAAGTTAAATTAATGCAATTTCCAAATTCTCATATCAGTGAGAGATTTGTGTTTCCCATATTGTAGTTTTTTGGAACTATAGAAGTGGCCTCCATGAACAGACAGCACTCTTTAAGGAAGAATAAGTATGAGCACTGAAGAATTAAATTGAAAATTCTCACACTGTTTTGGATCTTTTGAGTGCTGAAAGCTCACACACTTGTGACTGACCCAAGCATCAAAGTAGCCCTCTGTGTTTTCAAAGAAATATTAAAGTGCTTAAAGTGAAGCCCATTTCCCCATGATTCAGGGCTTGTCTTGCTTAATTTGTGTCTACCTGATACATACCTGTAGGATCTGAAGAAAGAAATATTTTCTTCAGAAAGATTTGAAAAAAATAGTAGAGACATTGGTGATCATATGTATTATGCGCTCAACAAATTCTCCTATGAAACTTATTTCATGCATGCAAAAAAAAACAGAAAAACTGAATAGAAAAAGAAAGTTAATGTAAAGTTTTTTGTGTCCCTTCCTGATGTGCAATATCAGTGCTTTTAATTTTATTAGAAGAGCTGAAACAGTGTTCTGAATTACAAGTTGGTAAGCACCACAGAAATATAGGGAAAATTGTGAAGAGTTTTCTTCCTGCTCTTTGAGAAACGTCATAAGAGTGATAATAGATTATCTTCCGTAAGAGCCTTCCTCTTCTGCCCACTTTTTTCTTTCAAGTTCCTTCTGACTTGGCAAACAGGCTATTGAAATTTTAGAAAATCTCTCAAGAATTCTTTCTTAAAGCCAGTAAGTATACAATGGAAAGATGGCTCCATACAAATGGAAAAATGTATTGCAGTGTAAGTAATGGTTGCTTGAGAAATTTAAAGGCAAACAAATGAAAAGAAAAAACAGCAGTAGAAATTGCTGTTGAGCAGTGGAATTTGTGAAAGTACTCTGGGTGAGGTGCTTTTTAATGTAGTCAGTAAAGATTTGGCAGGGCAAAAAAACAGTGAATCAATTTAACTTGCAAATTATGCAGACAAATCAATTAAAAACCATTGGAGAAATGAAAAAAAAAGTTAAATTTAAACACATTGGGATATTAAGCAACACCGTGACAAATGAGATGTTATTTGGATAGGCACTTAATACCCATGACAGCAACATTCCAGATTGCTCAAGCAAAGCTAACAATTAAACCTTAAGCTTAAGAGCACAAATTGCTAGCTCAGGATGAGTGCATGGCCTGCCAGCCAGGCACAAAATTGCTCTGCCTTAGGGCTGCTGAAGTTTAGCTGTCAACCTTCTAAAGGAACAAACGGAGATACTGTTAAAACTTACCAACATATCCACAAGTATCTGCACACCTTCCACATTCCACTGTGGCTACTAATATTGATAAAAACCTCATGCTATTGGAAGTGTAATTATAGGGCATGAGTAGGCGACTAGGATTTTAATTAGAAATTAATTACGAACTAGGCAGTGACTGGATTAATTCTGACTAATGGATCTCTTGCCTGGTGAGTTCTTACAAACCACAGATCTCCATAGAATTTGCTCGCATAAATGATCGTGGATAGAACTCTAATTTCCTGCCAGAAACCTGCTTGATACAACTTGCTTATTATTTTGCTTTTTTTTTTTTTTGTGCAGAACTAGCAAAAACTCTTAGGTTCTCTCTTTGTTTATATGTTATTATTCTTTTCTATCTATGTTCCTTCTTATTTTGACTTTTGCATCTGCACTTGCTTTCAGTGTTCTCCTTTTCCTGTTGCTTTCTGGCTTTTCAGTGGTAGCTCTTCCTGGAATCAGTCTTACTGCTTTTTGCAGAAGGAATTCCAAGCTGTTGGGGCACATTCCATGCTTTTTGCTTATAATCATGAGAACTGCTACACTGTCACTTGTTCACCACCACTTGTGGGAAACTTTTGTCTATTCGTCTGCTTCTTTTCACATTTCTGATTGCAGCCTGTCCAAACATTGATGCTAAGTTTCCTTGATTTCAACACTTAATTCTTGAATCTCTCTTACTTCCCATCTATTTCCTCACATCTTTTCTACACCAACCTGCTTTCAACAACTTCTATGAGTTTTGTCTGTATTTCATTCCATTGTATTCCTCTCTCTGTTTCATATTCCTTCTCTTTGTATTAGAGGTTGCTCTGTCACTCACTAAACTCAAAGGATAATACTTGCCTTTTCCCAGCTGATAACTGTATTCTCCAGTTTGCCGAAGCTCACCAAGCTACTGATACTGAAGCTCACTCATGCTAACTGATATAGTGCTTTCATTGCTGATCTTCCACTTTCTTCATCTTTTCCTTGGCATTTTGTGTGTGTGTGTGTGTGTGCGTGTATGTGTGTGTGTGTGAGAGAGAGAGAGAGAGAAAGAAAGAGAGAGAATGCTTATCAAACATCTAAGTCAGTGCTGGTAATTGCTGTCAGGTCAAGGCAGGCTTGAGGAGCATTATGGCATCCTCTGCCCGAAGCTCTCTCCAACAAATCAAAGCAGCACCTCACTGGCTCTAGAGAGTGTCAGCCTGGGTCAGTGAGGGCTGTTTTGTGCCTTACCACTACGTAGCAGCTGCCCAAAACAAAGCCTGAGAGCTGCATCCAGTAGCTTTAGGATTAGAGGCAAAGAAGAGGTGCCAGCAGCCAGGTATCTATGGGTAGATTTTCTTTTGTATTGTTTGATTGTTGATATCTTTATCATCAAAACAACTTAGCTGAAAACTAATGTGAATCTCGATTCTTAAAACTTTGTTTTGATTTAAGTAGTGTTCATTACAACTGGATGATGAGTGAGTGCTAGTTCAGACCCGCCAGGTAAACTCACTGCTCTGGGAAAGTTCATGGGAATCATAGTGTGGCCTAAACGTGAGTGCTGAACTTTACTTCTGAAGTACCACTGCCACAAAGTTAACTTAAAATTGATCTCCAAATGTAAGAAATGTGCAATGGGAGTCAGTGCAGATAGTCTGGGTTACTTGCTCAAACTTATGTCTGACCCACTGATTTCAGGTTTGATAGCAGCCCTTCCAAATACAGTTGAGCTCCTAAACGCATAAAGATAAGCAGGCAGTTAAAAAGTCAAGGGTAAAACAAAATGACAAAGTACAAAAGACATGCAGTGGTCTTTTTTTTTTCACTAACTTTAAAAACAAATTCCCTCCAGTTCCTGAATTTCATGTTAACACTTCCATGAACTTTCCCAGTGGCACATTTTTTAGCTGCCCAAATGTCTTCCTCAAAGTACTGAATAAAAGCAAAAAATACATGAAATGCCATTTCTGGAGGTTTTTGTGGTTTGACGCTTGCTGTCCTTGTGTGTGCCTAAGCACCACGCTTAGCAAAGGCCAATGGGCCCTGAACTAGAGCAAGCAGAGGGCAAGTGGCCTTGCCACATGCAGGGAGGCTAGCGAGTGACGGGCTGTATTGTTCTTTGCAGTGCCTGGAGCTCCAGGTGCCCCTGCCAGCAGCCCACCCTGCACCGTCAACATCCCCATTGCCCCCATCCACAGCTCAGCCCAGGCCATGTCGCCCACGCAGAGCATCGGCCTGGTCCAGTCGCTGCTGGCCAACCAGAATGTGCAGCTGGATGTTCTGGCTAACCCTCCGGCCGAGACAGGGGGTGAGGGGCCAGGACCCTTCCCAGGAGCACCAGGCCGATTCCCTGGCCCTGGAGCAGTGGCACCAACCGGTGGAGATGTGGCCCGCGCTGCCCCTGTTCCTCCCACTATTGCCCCACCACCCCCCGCCATCGCCCTTGCCGACCTCCGGGACCATGGTGACCGTGAACACGAGCCCCCGCTCAAGGCCAAGCCCCCGCGTCCAGGACCGGGACCACAGCTAGTGGAGAGCGATGCTGTCATCTTTGGGGCCGCTCAGGAGCTGCAGCTGAACAAGATGAACCCCCCACCACCCTACCCTGGCACCGTTCCCACGGTGGGCCCCCCGCCACCCCCACCTGTCCCCCCACCTCCGCCCCTCGACCTCTGCCTGAAAAAGGGGGAGTTCTCCCTTTACCCTGCGGGGCACTACCAGCCGCCTCTAGGGTACGAGCGAATAACAACATTCGACAGCAGCGGGAATGTGGAGGAAGTGTGCCGACCTCGTACCCGCATGCTCTGTGGCCAGGGCACCTACACCCTGCCAGGGCCCGGCAGCTCTGCCACTTTGCGCATCACCGCTGCCGAGAAGAAGATGCAGCAACCCTGCACCAGTGCCACCCTGAACCGGCTGACAGTTCCCCGTTACTCCATCCCCACTGGGGACCCACCGCCCTACCCCGACATTGCCAGCCAGCTGTCACAGGGCAGGAGCATTGCACAGAGGCTGGACAGCAGTATCATCCATGCTACTTTGCGGAGGAACAGTAGGGAGGCAGCGCTGAAAATGGCCCAGCTGGTGGACAGTCAGAGAGCCACCTTGCAGCTTCCCCCAAAAGCCAAGAGCAGCGTTGTGACGGCACAGTACCAGCAGAGAGTACCCACTGCTTTGTACACCTGCAGCCAGTGCAGCAGCAGTGGCGGCAGCAGCACCACGAGTGCTGGTGGTGTGGGCAACATCACTAATGCCAACTCTGGCAGCAGCACTTCCAGCATTGGTGGCATGAGACCTGATATGAGCACGGGGAGCAGCTCCCAGCACAGCTCTGTCATCGCTCACTCTGTCAGTACGTCGCCTTTGGCCTCCCAGTCCTCCTACAACTTGCTGAGCCCTCCTGACAGTTCCCGTGACCGGGCAGATTATATCAACTCTGCCTTTACGGAGGATGAAGCCCTTTCTCAGCACTGTCCAGTGGAAAAATCGATACGGCACGTACCTGTGGCCTTGACGGAGGCTGCCATCGGTGTAAAACGGCCACCGCCGTACCAGTGGGATCCTATGGTGAGTGAAGAGATATGGGTTCCTCAGGAAAGGACATCTCAGAGCTCCGTACCCAACCCTTTAAAACCAGCCCCTCTCATCATCGGTCAGACTCAGCACCTGGATATGTCTCGAATGCCGTTTGTCTCCCCTAAGTCTCCAACGAGTCCCACTGCCACTTTCCAGACAAGTTATGGGGTCGGAATACCATACCCAGGAAGCTACAGTACCCCTCCCCTTCAGGGAATGCAGCCCCCATGCTCCCCCAAAGAAGCTCTGGCCCCAACACAGTTTGCACAGCAGGAGCCCACAGTAGTGCTTCAACCAGGTTACCCACCCAACCTCTCCTATTGCCCTTTGCCACCCATGTATCCGGGAAGTAGCGCCTGCTCTAGTTTACAGCTGCCACCGATAGCCTTGCACCCATGGAGCTCCTACAGCGCATGCCCACCGGTGCAGAATCCCCAGGGCACTCTGCCTCCAAAGCCTCTCCTCGTGGTGGAGAAGCCGGTTATGTCTCCCCCGCCAACCGAGCTCCAGGGCCATGTGGGTACAGAAGTGATGGTGGAGACAGCGGACACCTTCCAGGAGGTGCTCTCCTTGACAGAAAGCCCTGTTCCTCAAAGGACAGACAAATTCGGCAAGAAGAGCCGAAAGCGGCTGGATAGTCGTGCTGAGGAAGGAAATGTGCAGGCTATCACTGAGGGCAAGGTCAAAAAGGATTCGAGGACACTGACTGACTTCAATTCGCTAATATCCAGCCCAAGGCTGGGCAGAGAGAAGAAGAAAGTCAAGAGCCAGAAAGACCAGCTCAAGTCCAAGAAGCTGAATAAGACAAATGAATTTCAGGACAGTTCAGAGAGTGAGCCGGAGCTTTTTATCAGTGGGGATGAACTGATGAACCAGAGTCAGGGCAGCAAAAAGGGTTGGAAAACCAAAAGGAATTTGAGGACAGCCAGTGAGCTGGATGAGTTCAAGTGCCGTAAGGCCAGCGAGAAGGAGGACGGGAGACTGGGGAGCCAGGGCTTTGTGTACGTGATGGCCAACAAGCAGCCGCTGTGGAACGAGGCAACACAAGTCTATCAGCTGGACTTTGGAGGGCGAGTAACCCAGGAGTCGGCAAAAAACTTCCAGATTGAGCTGGAAGGACGGCAGGTAGGAGGGCAGTGGCAAATGCTGCACCTGGGTGGGAGGGTGGGTGCCAGGACTAAGCCTGCCTCTATGCAGCGCAGTGCCTCCAGCTCACATTGGTTGCTGTTTGGGGAAAAACACACAGAAAACAAACAATAAAAACCAGCAAAGTGCTAGATTGAGAAGTAAGGATAAAGTGCAGTTGTAATGTAAATGTACCAGACATATTCAGTATTATCCCAGTAAGACATAAGAACAAAGGCTTCCTTTAATATCGCTAGTTTTTACTTCTGAAGGGAAGTAGTTTTTGTAATAAATCAGTTGCATAAATTGGAGAAAAGTGCAACAGATTTCCTTGAGTATAGTTACAGTTGAAGTCAGTGAGTTTGGACGATAGCTCATTTAATGAACACTGCTCAGTTCCTGTGGCAGTTACATGTGCTTTGTTCAAGAGAACTGATGGGGGTTCAATTAGGTTCCCTCAATCAAAATTTCCCCTCCTGAGTTATCAGGCCTTGGCAGCTTGTTCTTAATCCTGAAGGTACAAGAGGAGGCTCTGACCCTCTCCCAGAAAGAGGCTCAGTGGCCCACTTTTAAGCAGCCTATGGATAGAGAAGTTTTGGGAAGCTAGAAAATGTTTTGTTTTACAGTCTCCCCCTTCTGCCTGAGTGGGATGTTACTACACCAAAACCAGGCCATTAATAAATCAGCAGAACACTGGACTAGGACAGTCCAAGTGTTACAGATTTAATTCCTGGCTCAGCTATAGCATCTCTGAATGTCACTTTTGATTTATTACAGACATCAAGGTTCTCAACTCTCTCTGATTTAACTTGGGAGATCAGTGTCTTAAATATTCAACATAGATAACCAGTGGTAGCCTCCTAGTTTTGTCCTGTTGCAAAACAACAGCTTGTTAAGAAAGCAGTGACCATGGGTGCATAGCCATGAACCCCTGTGCAAAATCACACTGACCATAGGCTTTGCTGGTGATAGAACAAAGCTCAACTCACTTGCTTACATTCCAGCCCAAGAAACTTCACTGTAGAAAAAAATACAATCAGGGCTTCTGATTAAGCTTATGAAGAAGCAATATTAATAGGCCAAATTTACGTACTCCCTGTAGAAGAACAACCTGACTATCCTAGCTTTACGTTTCAGACAGCTCTCGCTGCCCCTTTGCTAATTCATTCTCAGTCTAATTATTTTCTAGGAAAGCTTATACAAAGGAAAATAGAACTGCTAAAGAAATACAGCATGCTAAATGGGAGGTGCTGTAGACAGAAGATTGGTTCTTCCCTTTCTCTGAAAGCTCCTTCCTTTGAAAATGAAATCTGTTTTCCTGATGGGGCAATGATGGAATCTCTCCAATGGAGAGAACATTATTTTCCTGCATAAAGAAGGATGCTGGTGTGACCCACATCTGTTGAGGTCATTGGAAACATTGTTCTTACACCAACGCTTTATAGTGTTTATATATGTTTTAATGCTCAATGTACAGAGTGAAATATTAGTCAAGTACTCTATGTGGTCCATTATTACAGTGCACTTACTCTTCGTTGTCCTCCCACTCCGTGCTGTGACTACCCCATATTAATTCAGAACAATTAACAGAAGTGTACTTACGAAGGGGCAAAAATATTTAACTCTTGTTCTTCTCTGTTTTCTTTTCTATGACTCACTGTTTTTGACCTTGTTCTCTTTTTCCTTCCCCGCTCTTACCCTGCTTCCCAGGTGATGCAGTTTGGAAGGATTGATGGCAATGCTTACATTTTGGACTTTCAGTATCCATTTTCTGCAGTGCAAGCCTTTGCTGTTGCTCTGGCTAATGTGACTCAACGCCTCAAATGAACAAGCAGAAACCTGGAGAGAGGAAAATGTTGTCAAAACCTTCTCATAGAGTCCAAACTGGAAAATGTCGGGGCAGCCTACGTTAGGTGCACTGAGGTGCCTGGAAGCGAAGAAGGCCGTAAAACTGGAAAAGTCTCTTAGTGCCCAACTGAAGGGCATTAACTCTAATCAGTCATGGGGTGGAGGGTGGGGGGCTTTCTTCTCTTTTGTTTGTTTGTTTGTTTTCAGGTGTTTTCTTTTTTTAAAGCATTGTGCTTGGTTTCAGAAAGAGCAAAGGGTTGAGAGCCATTCAGTGTTATGTGGAGAAGTGTGGCTTTTGGCTTGTTGTGATGGTTCTGCTGTGTTTGCTACAATAGCTGATGTAAGCTCATAGAGGGATTAAAAAAGACTGCTCTTTTTGATAGACTGCCTTATATCATGCTGTTCTTTTTAAAACAGGGAACATAACTTTTTTTCTGGTCCAGTTTGTACTACTACTACATCAATGATAGCAGCAAAAAAAAAAAAGAAAAAGAAAAAAAGAAGCTATAATACTTGAAGACGCGTGTTTCTTCTCTGATCTCTGATAATAACTGAGTACCACAAGTTCCAGGGAGGCTTCTGTAGGTCAATATTTAATTTATACATAACGATGTGTTACTCAGAAAAGAAACAAAACTGTTACCAATGTGGTTTTAAAACTCAATGTATCAAATAAGTTGATGTCTGCTTGTTTTGTGTGCTGTTACTGGGGATAAACATCTTCCGTTGGGTGACAGAAAAGAGGGAAGAAAATAATTAAGAGCGTTCCTTCTTTGCTCATACTGATCAGCAGTGTTCTTCAGTTTGGCCTGCAGCTGGAAGAGGTACAGTGTGACCAGATGTACCTTCAAGGCCATGCCTATACACACTCCTCATTTAAATGTGTTTACACTTTATAAACAGAGTCATTCAAGTGAATGAGAAGGCCCAATGTATTCATCTTCTTAGTAATCAATAGGAATCAAGTTCCACAACATTGTATCTGTGCTAAAATTAGGAAAGAGACAGAAGTATAGCAAGTCATTACAGGAAGCAATTTCATCAGGAAAGCAATTTTGTTACAGGAAACAACATCATGGCTGGCTGGAGGACAAATAAGCTAAAAGTGGAAGGAAAAATTGGACAGAATTATTCCTTTTATCACCATTACTACTTGAGTAGTTCTTGTGACTGTAGTTTGTGAATATAATGCTCCAGGTAAGAAAGAGTGGCAAGGCAAAGTTTAAATGGAGTGTTACAGGGAATGGCTTATTGAAAGGAGGGCAGCTTGTTCTGGCTAAAGTTTAGTTTCTGGTGGACATGCAGACTTGCTGACCATTTAGAAGGGTTGCTTGCACAGAAGGTTTTCTGTGTTGTCCATTTTTGTGTATGTATTTCTTCGGTTTCTCTCTTTCCTCCTTGCCTGCATTTTGCTATAGAATACGTTCTGGTATGGAAACAGCTTCCACAGTGATGCACAAAAACTGTAATTATTCCTGTAATTGTTTGGACATTAGATTACTAAACATGACTGCAGATTTCCTTCAAAAAATTATTCTTTTGATGTGAAAGGCACGCTGAGGAAGATAAGTTAGTTGAGATGTTAATACTGCTTTGTCTTTTATCCAGTTTAACTTCTTACTTGAAAAGCTGTATAACATAAGATAAACAGTTGTGATTTTATCTCTCTTTTTGAAAATTCTGGTGGTAAGGCAGTTCTGTGTTGTATTTAATTCATTCTAGAGGAGCGTGCCATGTAAGAGAGGACCATGCTGTAGCAGAGCTTACCAGAATGCAGTGAACAAGAAACTTCTGCTCTGCTGACACATGTAAAGCAATACAGCACAGAGGGAATAATAAATATCAGTCAGAGAGGAGTTTGAGAGCTGCTAAGAGAGACTACGAGGCAGATCATCCACAGGTAAAGTCCCACAGGGTGAGTCCAGGAAGAACCTGGAAGAACACTTTGCAAAGTGGTTTCCTTGGAGAGGACAGTTAGAAGTAAGAAGGAAGGAAGGGCAATAGATGGCACCATGCCTGTATGATCCCAGAGTTCAGGAGCTTCTGCTTACATGTCAGGCACAACATTCCCCTTGGCATTTAACAGACTTCATTTGCTTCAATTAATTTTATTGAATTTATGTTATCTGGCCTATTTGTATTTTTTCTCATGTGCATTACGTATTCGGCAGCTTATGTGCCTGTATCTGTAATGTGTGTGGGATGGAGGAACTGAAATAATTTGATCTGTTCCCTTAAAAATCTGGAAATTTTTCCCATTGATTTTTATAAAGGAAGCACGATTGAGCCATTTGTCTGCATTGAGTTACACCCTGTGCAGACAGTCAGTTGAATTCTCAGGTCTGCTACTATCAATATGTGAGGAGGAAAGTTGGCAGATTAGTGTCCTTTCCTACCCAAAAGTCTGTGCTTAGCAGTCATACCCAAATTAGAATGTAATGGGCATGTGCTGAACAGCATAGACAAGAAATGTATCATGACATGCTCACTGTCTGGGAGAAGGGCGACTCATTCACACTAGAAATCTTCAGCTGAAAGGAACGTTGCCTGTAGTTTTAAGCCAAAATTGTTACCGCGTGCAAAGAACATCAGTGTTTTTTTCTGAACAAGATCTGGTCTAATTAGGACTTCTGTGTGCAGTTTCTTTAATCCTCCATGGAACAGTATTCCTCTTCACTTGATTCATAAGCAATTTTTTCCAATTATCAGTAGCTTTCTACTAACGTATAACCACAAATCACAAACACATATAACAGGTAACAGCTTACTAACTTGGTTCTGTTGGCCAAGCCTGTGATTGCATCGTTCTGGTCGCTTCTGCCCAAACAAAGCACAAGGAACAGCTGTCATAAATCAGGAAAGTATACACAATTTCCAGCCTTCCTGTTTATTTGTCAGATGTTATAAGATAAGATACTTTTCTGTCTTTTTGAAAATACTTTGACAGAGTCCCTAAAGGGAATTAAAATTGAGGGTTTTAATGGTTTGGAGAATTAGAGATAGAAACTACTCTCAAATAAGTTGAATTGTAATGAAAGAAGTGGAAGTGGTGTAAATTCTGAGAGTGGAACTGGATCGTGAATTGTATGAAGGACAAGTAAAAGCAACAGTTCTTCTGTTTTTCATTGAGAGATATGACATACGACACAGATTTAAAAGCTGCCCACAATACATTCACTGAAATCCTGAAGATTGCTGTTGCATTCAGCCAAAAAACAGATTTTACACTTTATACTTAATTTGAAAGATCCGAGTTTTCTGTAGATAACTAAGTTCTTCTAGGGAGAATGTAGCAAGGTATTCAAAAATATTCTTCTTTTATACGCACACAGGGATTTCCAGAAAATGTTTTTCCAAAGCTTTTTTTTTTTTTTTTTTTTTTCTTTTTCAATTGTGCAATAGTTCAGACAGTCTGGGGGTCTTATGGGCTTTTTCATGGTTGTTTGTTTTATTCTGCTGTTTATTTCTTTATTTTCTTTTTTCTCTTTTTTTTTATTTTTTTTAATTTTTTTTAGGAAGTTCTGAGTGGTTTTTAAAGATAATTTAATGCAGATTTCTTGTTAACATCCAAAAGGCAAACTATTTATCTTGTGTAATATAATAAGTAATTAAGGGATTATTTTATTTCTATATATCAGTGAGCTATACACACTTTATTATTTATATTTAAAGAGCATATTCGTAAGTAATTGTATGTTTTGCTGCAAGAAGTTCAAAGTGCATATAGGAAGACTTGGTTTTGTGGACTAGTATGTAAAATTTCATCATTCAGGCAGGCAGAAATATTTTGGCGTATCTAAAAGCAGCGAGTTTGCTTTGAAGATCTGTGTAGACTACAAAGAATGTAGATGACTTCTTTGGGACCTGCAGAAATCTGTCCTCCACAGTTTCCCTCCTTTGTTTTGAAGTACATATTTCAATTGGGAATGCTTTTAAAAAATACAAAGCTTTCCCTCTTGTTTAGTGCAGTGCTTTTTCTCTAGTTATAAGATAGGCTGGCTTGCGTGATAAAAGAGAGTGTAACGATGTAGGCTCAGTTTGTAAGTTCATTGCATAGCCTGGTAGGATTTAACGGTGGCATACTTCAGTGCACTAACAAACTAGCTTAGTATGAGCTAGATGAGGCACGAGAAGGAGTACAGCAGTAAATGTGTTTCTCTCTACTCAGGCTAATGCACTCCTTCAGCAGGGCTCAGCTGGTTCCAGCGCAGCCATAGTGCTGCTGATTCCTGAGTTAGCACTGCATGGAGCTGGTTGAGCTGAGCCCTGACCTCTGCCAGTGGCACCTTCTCTTCTTCAAGGTGCTCCTCCACTGAGACACGCTGGAGACAGCGTTCCTGCTCTCTTCTTTCCAGTTTAGCTCCAAGAGCAGCATGCAGCTGCCAGAGAGTTTGCCTGCAGCAGCTTTAAGCAGAGAAAGCCCCAGTGTCAGTTGGTGGTTGTGTGGAATCTGCTCCTCTAAAGGTGCAAAGAGGTGTAATAGAGATCCTGATTCATTTAGAAAATACAGCTGATAGCCTCAAAATAAAGCTCCTAACAGAGTCTTTAAATTGGCACTTAAAGTCTTGTATATGCTCCATGCACAGAGTGATCGATTTTGTCTTGAAGCAGTGGGAATATTGCATTTCTGCAATGCGCGTATGGGAGAGAGAGATGAAAGAGTTACAGAAAGAATTTTCGTCGTAATAGTTATTCACTGAGTTCCAGAGGCAGCAGAAAGAGGTGCCATGGGTTGCCTGATCTTGGTTGTATAACAGTCAATCTGCATGTAGGTTCATCTCAGATAAACCTTCCCTGTTGCAGCCACAGAAAAATAGTTGTATATTTCTTTATCTAGTTTTGTTCTATTGTTTTTATGGAGCTGCACAAAGCCTTGAGCCTGGACAGTCTGACTTTCCCTCACGTGTCTTTTTTTTTTTTTGGTCTAAGAAATTCCAGACAAATGTGGGAGCTTGCCTGGTTGTTACCTCAGACAATTTCTGTGCATTTGCAGCCAGATATGTGTTACCCTATGTTATCTTGGTGCCCTTTTACCTGTCAGCAGCACTTTAAATCCATGTGCAAAAACTGATTTGAGTGAAAGAGAAGACAGGGTAAGTTTTGACTGGTTTTTATGAATGTGTTTGCCAGAGCAACAGTTTGGAAATCACACATTTCTGCAGATCCCAAACCACTCAACGCCAGTAAATCTGACCTGGGGATTAGCAGCAGATGAGCCATTTGCATGGCATGCTGACAGAGGGCCCGCTTCTCACCTCACCAGGTTACACTAAGGTACTTAAGAGAGGGGAATCGCACCCAAAATGCACTTTGCCATCTCTGTATGATTATAAGGTAAGAATGACAGACTTGATAGGTATATCCATTTAAAACAACTGTACAGCATTAACGAACAGCTATACTGACAGTTCTGTGTAAACTCACCTGAAGCACTCTGGAAGTAAAATGGCAGCCACAAAGCAGTCTTAGAGAATTTTGCCTTATTTTCTCATTTCTAGGACTTCAACACAGGAGAGCAAGCTGTTCATGTGATTTAGAGGTTGGTGTAATGTTTTTCCCAGTATACAAGGGGAAATAATATACTGCTGACAAAAATGAAATAATTCTGGTAGAGGAATTTTTTCATTTTGAAGTCCCTTCACTTTCACAGCAAGCACAATCCTCCACCAGCAGCTACTGGCATAGAGCTGTGTTACCCTCAGGAGTATACTGCAGGTAGGGACCACGGTCCTTTTTGCAAGGTTGGAATTTACATGCATCATTCCCGAAGGAATAAGATTCGTTACTGCTTGTGAAAGGTGGGCTATGCAAATGATTATTTCATATTTATTTAATTCTTTAAAAGAAAATCCCGCAGAGATGTTTTTAGATTAAAAGATGCAGCTTTGCATATTGCTTGGTACCTCTGGAGATGTATGAGGAGAGCATTTCTTTTGGCAGTTGGATTGTTGCTCCATGTAGGAAATTAGATTTTTAAGAGAAAAAACAATTAACCGAAAAAGAGAATGAAAAAGGATTCGGTGAAGCAGTTCTTGATACAAAAATTAAAAACTTCACCATTCAACTTTTGATTTTGCAATTGAATTTATAATGAGAAGTTTGTTCTTCAGGGCAAACTGATTGTTATGAAGCTCTGTGCAGGTGCATAGGTTTGCTGATCTGGAGCTTAGTGCAGGATCAAAACAACACGATTTTGTGAGATTTGCAAATAAATAGATGAAAATCTGGATACTTACTTATCCAAAGAGTTCCAAAGAGTATCCAAAGAAATTAAATGGTATGATGCCTTCCAGTGGCTGGAGGGGGCCTACAGAAAAGCTGGGGAGGGACTTCTTATAAGGGCATGTAGCAACAGGATGAGGGGAAATGGCTTTAAAATGGAAGAAGATGGATTTAGACTGGATATTAGGAAGAAATTGTTTACTGTGAGGGTTGTGAGACACTGGAACAGATTGCCTAGAGGGGTGGTGGATGCCCCCTCCCTGGAAGTATTCAAGGCCAGGCTGGATGGGGCTTTGAGCAGCCTGGTCTGGAGGGAGGTTCCCTGCCTACAGCAGGGGTTGGATCTAGATGATCTGAAAGGCCCCTTCCAACCCAAACCATTCTGTGATTCTACGATGTTCAAGTGTGCCAGATCATTTTGAATCCTTGCCCTCCCATTTAAATAACTACAAATTTCAAAATATTGTCTGATTCAGCAATTCTGAATCCTGACAAATGTCATCTACTTGTGGAGTGGTTTTCTTACTGTCCAAATGGTTGGTTCTGGTAATATGGATTCAGATTAAAGTAATAATAAAAGAGAAACATACCAGTGTGCAGACACCTGAGTTTCAAGTATTTAATCAGGATAGAGCTCAGCTTATAATTCCTGCCTATTCTGTTTCAAACTATTTATTC